CAAGCTGAAACTCTCACACACTTCATAGATGAGGAAGACTTTGCCATTGAGTGGCTTGGCACCGATGATATGGCAGACGCTACCAGGCTCCTCAAGATCAACCAAGTCTACACCATGAAAAAAGGGAGCTCACTGCAAAGGAAGCCATAAAAGATTCTAGTGATGATGATGACAATGATGACGATAATAATGGAGCACCAAGAGGACCTCCAAGCAACAAAGGTAAGCAAATCATCCATTCTTCCTCCTCTAGTCATAAAGAAACCAGAAGAGTCATGGAAAAATCCAGGATGGAAACTCAAGGAGGAGAATCCTCTAAGGCCCCTCAAGGGCAGTTGGCTGCCACCATCCCGCAAGGGACTCAACTGCTGGATCTTAACAGGGAACCCCACCAAGAGGAGGCCCCAGAGCAGCAGCCTACAACATCAAATGACATAAGGGAGAAAATTTTCAATGATGGTGCAAAGGACACTCCCACACTGGCAGAGGTTTTCATCCAAGAGAGAAGGGCCACTACCAAATTCATAAGCAATGCTGAGGTTAGACTGCACAAAAGATTAATCAAGATGAAGAATCACTTTGATCAACTCCTGGACTTGCGATTTGAAGAAGTTCACAAGCACATCAGGAGCAACATGATGATTCAACAAGTTTTCAACTCTGAGCAAAAGGCTCATTTTCAAATCCAGCTTGCAAACCAGCCAGCTCAGTTAGAAGCAATCCACAAGGCGCTTGCAGAACTTCAAGCTCTAAGTGTAGAACTAGAAAATCAAATTCTAGCATTCGAGGTTGACCACCATAAACTCCATATCGATCTTGGTGCGATGGGAGCCGTTGCCGACGTCCACGGGGAGGACTATCGTGCCCTCGGCGTCGATAGAGCCTCTGGTGCGCACGTCTTCTCTTTCTTCCTTGCGCATCATCGATCGGCTCCACCCATGCCATCGCCGCCGTCGTCGACTTCACCCTGCGCACCAGATCGATCGAGTTCCTCTCACGCCGCCGATTTCGCCGCTGCCATTAAGGTTCTCCTCCTCCTCCTCCTCCTCCTCTTCGATTTTCCTCTGTTTTTTCTGGATTTTGAATTGAATTTTCCAATTTTTGGACTTCTGTTTTGCCAAATTTCGATGTTCTGGTTTTTCAAACTTCTATTTCGATGTTCTGGTTTTTAATTTCAGAGTTTTAAAAAAAAATCGATTTACATAAATTTTTGGATGATTGCTTCAGATTTGGCCAGGTTTATGACAAAAATGTGTACATTTACAATCATATTATGGAAGAAATGCTTTTGTATAAATTGGTTTTTCTGTTTTTTGTCAATAGCTTCGTTTTTCTAATTTATGATTGTGTTAATATGATTGTTCCATTAAAAATTTTAGTTGTTTGAATATTTGGTTATTTACCTCATGTTTTTTTTTGCCAAATTTTTGGCAGTTTTGTGTTATTATGCCAAATTGAACCTGCCAACTTTTTTGGCAGATCTGAAATATTTTTTCATGACAGAAGTGAATCTAATCCATAGTGCTAAATCTGCCAAGTTAATGACAAATTATTCCGCTTGAGTTGTCACTGTCGTGGCGGTGCTCAGAGGATGGTGGCTTGGGTGGATGGTGACGTTGGTGTGGGAGACGACAAGGGGCGGCGATGGATGGCGATGGATGGCGATGGTGCGTCGGCAAGGATGCGGTGGCAAACGGTAGACGGTGAGGGCGGCGACAGGGGGTGCCGTCGCCGGAGAGGGTGGCGTCAGGTTTCACCGGCGAGGGGTGGCGGCAGGTTGCGTCGGCGAGGGGTGGCGGCAGGTTGCGTCGGCGAGGGGTGGTGGCAGGCGGTTTGGCTCTTGTGGCGACAGTGCTACTGCTAGGGTAAATAATTTTATTTACCGTTGATTAATTGTTTTCTAGGTATTTTTGTCCAACTGTATTGAAATTCATCCTATGAAAGTTGTGTTTCGTATGTGATCCTAATTATGTAATTAATTTTGCTATTAGTTCTATTTGAGTCATTAACTCTAATTAAAACACAAAAGATTTAGATCATTTTTCAAATCTTTATAGCCCAACCTAGTCCAGACTCACGTCCGCCCTTATAATTTGAAAAACCCTATTGAGGCATCCTCAGAAAAATCGGAGAAACATTCCTGAATAGCTCTGAGGAGAAGAAGTCGATGGACCCTTCAGCAGCTGTACCAGAACCCGTCACCTACACCTGTGGAGGTACGTGCTTCGTTTTTCTTTACCTCTGCTCCGTTGATTAATTGTTTTCTAGGTATTGGCCTGTCATGAATTTGGGTTGATGTGGTGCAGACTGTGGGCACGAGAACATACTGAAGGCGGGAGATGTGATTCAATGCCGTGAATGCGGCTACCGTATTCTCTACAAGAAGAGAACCCGCAGAAGTATGTCTCGCAATTTTTCCTTGCATAACTTTAAGTTGTCCAATTTCTCTTCTTTTGTTCGAGTGTATATGTAATGCTCCTCGAGTCCCAGTGAAGATTGTTTTAATCTCTTCTTCTCGAAAGAAGAAACAAAAATACCTTTTTTATTAGAATGAGTTGATTTTTCATGTACTCTAACAACTAATCAGCTTAATGACGTAATCTGGTCGGTGCGACAGCTGTATGGCTTTAGTGCAAATAGCATAAGAATGATGACAGTCCCCTGTTTACATAATCCAAATCCACGATATGATCAATTCCTTTTAGACAAGCAAAATCTAAGATATGATTTATCTCACTGCATATGGTTTGAAAATTTAACTAAAATTTTCAAACCATATGTTTGAAAATCCAAGATATGATCTTTCTCACTGCATATGTTTGAAATTTTCACTTGAATTGGGGAAAATCATCATTGTCACATTTCTATATATTTGATATTGTATATGGGTAATTTGATATTTCACGCTCTTCTCTGAGGCATGAGGCGTTTGATGCGATTCTTTATTCTCTTTGCACAAATTCTCTGAGGTAATGTGGTGTGATCTACTTCCATACTTCTATCAGAAGTGTTTCTATCTTTCTCTACAGAATTTCTATGGTGTTCCCGTAGTTGCTTGAGAAACTATGATTTGGCCTATTCTGATTATCAGTAGAATAATCAGTATGAGTACCTTTCAACCTGTTTAACCTAAATGGATTAGTAATGAACGGACTCTTTTTCATTCAGAAAATTCAGCGTATTCCACCAGTTAAGAAAAATAACCATGGCCAAACAGGATCTAAGTTGAGCTACTCATTAGTGGTTGGCTACTCTTGGCTATGGAAGTGTATAAAATAAATTCAACAATAGAAGTTTTGTAAATTTGAACTTATATTGTAGAATGGCTCTTCTTATGGTCTATTGTTACTCATCTGACCTATATGTGATGGCGTACAGTTGTGCAATATGAAGCTCGTTAACGCATATGGGTTGAAGATCTCCGGGTGAAGGTTTGCAGGGAAGATTAGCTCTCGTAAATGCGAAAACTTTTTTTGTGTGTTCAAGCTGGACAAGAATATGGTTTTCAAGTTGTATTTGCTGATGTGGGGTGTTTCATTTGGAACTGAGTTGTTGAATGTTAGTCAAACTTGAATATTAGCATATGTCTCTATGTGTGAACCGCCAGCATTTCCCATATTTTAGATGAGAGGCCACGAATGTATAGGACACTACCTCCATCCCAGGTTCAACTTCTCATAAAAAAGAAGACAAGATTATTTAGATAATACGGAGAATTTAAATAAGATAATAATTGAATAAGATCGTTGAGTATGTTTTGAAATGTAGTTTTGATGGATATATGTTATGAGGAGATCATTGATGATAATTGTTATGTTAGGTATATTATTTTAAATTGATTACTAAGATGTAATTTAAGAGTACTAATTCTTTTCTAAAGTAGAAATGAGAACTTAATTTAGAACATTTGAAAACAAGCGAGAAGTTTAAGTTGGGATGGGGAAATAGTCCGTATAAATTATTTTAATCTGAGTATGTGGCTCCGTCCATAAACAAATGCTAATCAATTAACAACTACTCCGTTTCACTTTTCAATACTGCAAGTCTGTAATCAAGCATACACATAACACATTTGATGTGATTGAGAAAATTTGGAGTTATTTGGTGCATTCCATCTGTAACAATATATAAGTTCCAATTAAGAAAACTAGTAATTCTCGAGCACATTTAAGAAAACTATTGTACTATATTTGGTTGGTTTTCCAATGAATACAAGGCCACATCTCATAGTGCTACGAGAGTAAACGTTCGGTAAATTTTATTAAAAGACAGCTGAAAAGGTTCATCAAATTAACATTTTTTGTTGAATGATAATCAATTTTGACTAATAATACTCTATCAGTTACGAATTGAATTGCAAACTTTGACCAGCACAAGGATTATGAAATGATAATAAATGATGCTTGTTTTTTACACTTTTGTCCATCTTTCTAAAAGTAGATGTTTTTAAGTTAATGAGGGAAAAGTAAGAGTAAGGGTAAATTTGTCACTTTATTCTTATTTACATACCTAAAATTGAAAGTGGAAAACCATTTTGGGACAACCAAAAAAGAAAATTTTGCAAATAAAATGGGGACGGAGGGAGTATTTTTAATACAAAATTATTTGGAATATGAAAATTATACTAGTATCAAAATGTTTCTTATTCAAAATATTTTCATAAAAGTCAAAATTTATAAATTATACTCCGCATATAAATATGACAATTAAAATCATTGTCCAAAGTTTGTTATTATTAAGCAATGGAAGGTTTCTATTTTAATCACTATTGATAGTGGTGGACTCGGTTTGGGCCGGGCCCGGTTCGGGCCTAGAACCGGTAGGGGCTCGGTTCAAGGAAGGCAGGCCCGGAACCGGCCCGGATAACCCCGGGTCCGGTTCGGTTCGTGTCACCCGCCCGGTTCACGGGCCGGGCCGCCCGCCGGGCCGGGCCTTTTAATTTTTTTATTATATATTATATTATTAGAATAATTCTTATTACAATTACAATATATTATATTCGAATTGAAGTATATTTATTTCAAGTAAGAAGTACAATTGAGAATTAGGATGAATTTAAAAAATGTAATACATTTTGTAATAAAAAATCAATCGGAATCTCCGCCTTCGGTTGTTTCCTCCATAAAGTGGCGGGTGGGAGTGATGGTAATTTCTTGAGTTCTTCGTTGGGCCTTCAACCAATCGTGAAAGCAAACTAGTGTCTCAAGAGAGCTCGGGCTCAACCTCGTTCTATAATCGGTTAGGACGTTGCCGGCCGCACTAAATTCTTGTTTCACGGCAACGGTTGATATCGGCATTGCTAGCACTTGCTTAGCCATCTTTGATAAAATCGGGAATGTTCTTTCATTTTCCTTCCACCACTTAAGAACGTCAAAGTCATCACCAACTTCATAATCAACATTCAATGTTAGATACAAAGAAAGCTCGTTACCTGAGCTTTGTTCAGTAGCGGGAGTTGCTCTACCTTTTTTCAAAAGAGAACCAAAAGCGGATTTTAAAAGTGATTTTCCTTTAGATGAAGAAGATGTTCGTTGCATGGGAGGGGGTGCATTACCATATTGTGCATGAAATTCATTATACAATTGATGAAATAAATTACTAACCTCGTTGAATTCTTATCTAGGGTCGATGGGATTATCATCGAACTCTTGAGTTGGAAAAAAAGAAGCATAATAGTAATCTATACAATTTGCCAAGTAAGCAAGTTTATAACGAGGATCAAGAACAAATGCAATACCATATATATGCGGAATATGTGAATAATATTTTAAAAACTTTTGTTTCATGAAATCACAAAATAACTAACGTAAGTGGCTTCGGTAGGTTTATAAACATGACTAAAAGTTAGAGTTGCGTTATTAAAATATGCCAAAACATTAACAATTTTTTCACAAGTGTCGATGTCAGCCGGGTTTATAATATAGTTACAAGTTTGTCTTAAAAAAGCTGAAAAATGATCTTTATATCTAACAACTGCTTGAATTAAATTATAAGTACTATTCCAACGAATAGACAAATCTTTAGGAAAAGCACAATAATTGACACGTCTATCCTTCAAATATTGCCGCCATTGCATTTTTAGTGGAGTGCTAGCCCAAATCAATTTAATTCCCCCCTTCACTACCTCCAAAGCATTTCCTAATGCCGCTAAGCCATCTTGTACACACAAATTTAGAATATGACATGCACAACGTTGATGAAAAAACCTACCCATCAATGTAGAAGCACCACACAATTCACGTAATCTAGGTATAGCAGCAGTATTATTACTAGCATTATCAAAACCTACAGCAAACACCTTATCAATCAAATTATACTCAGTTAAAATACGTTCAATGAGAATATAAATATTATCAGCAGTGTGACGATCATTGAATATTCCAATCATGAAAAGCAAGAACACGTTTATGCATATTCCAATCATCATCAATATAATGTGCAGTAAGACCCAAATAATATAAATGATGATAAGTATCCTCCCATATATCGCTACAAATACTAACACGTCCATCAAACTTTGCGAAAAATATTTGTAATTTTTCTTTTTCCAAGTTATATTGCCTTATAACTTCTTTTTTAATCGTTTTGCGACTATAATTTCTAAATTGAGGGTTTAAAGTACCTTGAGCATAATCTCTTAAAGCAAGACTTTCGGAAAAAATATAGGGTAAATTTTCTTCAACAATTAAATGAGACATACAAGTCAAATGTTTTTTATCATCATAGGAAAAATTACCAAAGGGTTGAGAATTTGCAAACCTCGATATTTGTGTTTGCTTCCCCTTACCTTTGTCTATTTTTGCATACTCCACAAAGTGGGCGGACTGAAGATGCCTTTTGAGACTCCCGTATCCGCCAGAAGTTCCCAAGCTAAACTCTTTCTTGCAATGATTGTAACTTGCGTACCATTTTTCGGTTTGTTCGTCTTTCCTTTTTGTATAATTGTTTTCAATAATAGGAGATTTAGATTTCTTACCAATTTGGGTTGTAGTCGTTGAACGGCCCTCGTCCTCCAACTCTTGCTCATCATCCGGAGTCCCGTCGCCCCCGCGTCCTCCTCCACATCGTTATCCTCGAGCTCCTCTTCATCGATGGTTGTCGGGAATTGTTGTTCTTGTGCAAAACGTGGATCATTTTGGGACAATAGGTGTTGTAGTTGCTCGTCGGACATAATCATATCATCTCGCCGTTGGTAATCCGTTTCAAAATCATCTCGACTTTGAAAAGAAGACTCGGCCCGCGCTTTACCTTTGCCTTTGCGTGAAGTAGATCGAGTCGATGCAATCTCCCTCTTGCGGTTGCGTTGGAGATTACCCACATCTACAGAATGTCTACCACGCTCCATCTTTAAAATTGAACAAATATTAACAATTAACTAATATGAGAAATGTAAAAATGTAGCAATGAAGTAATATGAGAAATGTAAAAATTAACTAGTTTTTTTACTTTAATGAGAAATGTAGCAATGAACTAATATGAGAAATGTAAAAATGTAGCAATTAAGTAATTAACAAATATGAGAAATGTAAAAATGTAGCAATTAAGTAATTAACTAATATGAGAAATGTAAAAATTAACTACTTTTTTTACTTTAATGAGAAATGTAGCAATTAACTAATATGAGAAATGTAAAAATGTAGCAATTAACTGATATGAGAAATGTAAAAATTAGCTACTTTTTTTTTACTTTAATGAGAAATGTAGCAATTAACTAATATGAGTAGTTAATTGAGCCCGGGACCGAACCGCTTGATGACCGGGTCGGGTGGCCTGAACCGTGACCTAACCGCACAGTAGCGGGCCGGTCCGGGCCCGCACAGTAGCGGGCCGGTCCGGTTCCGGGCCGGTTGGCCCGGCCCGAGTCCACTCCTAACTATTGAGCCTATCATTGACAGTGCTAGAGCTCAGGAGTTCAAAAATCTTTTTGGTTTTCATGAAGTTCTTTTCTCTCCTATTAATAAAATTTGGGTTTTTTGGAACCCAAATGTTGTTTCAATTTATGATGTTACTTGGCATTCTCAGTTTGTTCATTTTAGAGTTACTAAAGAGGATTATAAGGGTTGGTTGACTGCAGTTTATGGGAAGCATAACCATATCATTAGAAGGGAACTTTGGAATTCTTTCCTGGTTTTATCTGCTTTTATTACAGAGCCTTGGATTGTGGGGGAGACTTCAATGCTATAGCTAGACACAATGAGCATAAAGGCAACAACTCCCCTATTTTGGGAAGTATCATTGACTTTACAGATTTTATTTGTGCTAGTGATCTGATTGAACTATCTCATCTTGGCTCTCAATTTTCTTGGTCTGGTTTTAGATCTACTGGGTGGGTTTGGAGAAAACCGGATAGAATCCTCCTGAACAACCATTTCAATGATTTTTTCAACTCTATTCAGATCTCCCATCTGGACAAGTCTCCCTCTGATCATAACCCTATCTTGGTTCAGTGTCATAAGAGCAACTTCAGTGGTCCTAGAGCTTTCAAGTTTCAGAACATGTGGCTGAGTCATCTTACTTTCTTAGAAACTGTTAAAAAGAGCTGGGATTCAAGTGATTCTGGTGGAGGAATGAGAGGTTTAGTCTTCAAACTCAATGCCTAAAAAGAGATCTTAAGGTCTCGAACAAGAATATCTTTGGTAATATTTTTGAAGTTGTTAAACAGTGTGAAGAGGAGGTGCTTCAGGCTGAAAACAGATTTATTGACCATCCTACTGAAGAAAACAGGAAGCATTGGTCCTTTTTAAAAGCTATGTTACTTTCTAAATATAAGCTTGAAAGGAAATTTGGGAAACAAAAAGCTCATATTAAATGATTAAAAGATGGTGACTCAAATTCACATATTTTCCATTCTTATGTCAAAATTAAACATAGCAAGTAGTCTATCAGATCCATTTCTACTGCTGAAGGGACTCAGGTTTCTTCTTTACCTGAAATAGGAGATGCTGCTGTTGAATACTTTACCCACCTCTATTATGTTGACCCCATTGTGGGGTCTGGATCCATTTTACAGCACATTCCTACTCTTGTCCAGCCTGAGGATAACCAGATGCTAATGCAGTTACCTGAAATGAATGAAGTTAAAGAAGCTGTTTGGGGGTCAAACCAAATGGTGCACTAGGTCCAGATGGGTTCAATGGCAAGTTTTTTAAAAAGTGTTGGGAGGCTGTGGGTATGTATGTTGTTATAGCTGTGAAGGAGTTCTTTATGGGCCTCCCTATTCATAAAGGTATGTCTAGTTGCCTTATAGTTCTTATTCCTAAGTCAGACAACCTTGTATCCTTTGTAGACTTCAGACCTATTTGTTTGGCTAATTTTATTAGCAAAGTTTGCACAAAAGTGGTGACTACTAGGCTGTCTGCACTCATGCCTGGATTAATATCCAGAGCAAGCTGGTTTTTTGGCTGGTAGGGATATTTCAGACCGAATTCTTATTGGCCAAGAGATGGTGCATGCTATTGACAAAAATGTGAGAGGTTCTAATGTTATTATTAAACTTGATATGGCTAAAGCCTTTGATAGGCTTTCTTGGAAGTTTATTGGTGAAATTATGTATCAGTTTGGTTTTTCTCTGCAATTTATCAAGATTATTTTGAACAATCTCCAAGCTACTTATTTATCTATCCTCATCAATGGTGTTCCTCAAAGTTTCTTTAAGCCTAAGAGAGGAGTGAAACACGGAGACCCTCTATCCCCATTCCTATTTATTTTAACTTCTGAAGCCTTCTCTAGGGGGATCAAATCTTTGGTGATGAATGGTCATATTCAGCCTTTCTGGATGGGGAATATAGGTTATCCAATCACACATTTAGCTTATACTGATGACCTCTTAATTTTTCTTAATGGGGTATCCAGATCTTTAAGAAATTTTAAGAAATTCATTGAATCTTTTCAAAAAGCTTCAGGTCAATCAGTGAACTTTGCTAAAAGCTCTTTTCTTTGTGGCAACCATGTGGGGGCGAGAGGAAATGCCATTAAAGAACTTCTGGGTATGCAAAAAAATGAGCTTCCACTTAAGTATCTGGGTGTTAACCTCCATAAAGGTATTAACAAGTATGCCTACTGTTTGGACCTTTTTCATAAATTTGATGCTAAACTTACCCCTTGGAAGCAGAAGAATTTATCTCAGGGTGGGCGCCTTATTCTGATAAAGCATGTCCTCAGTGCAATTCCTATGCATTTGCTAGCTGCTGACAGGCTGCCAAAAAAAGTGATTAGAATTTTGGAGAGAAAAATGTCAGCTTTTTTCTGGGGTTCCTCAAACATCAAAACCAAACATCATTGGATTAAATGGGAAGATTTGTGCCTTCCTACTGCTGAGGGAGGTCTGGGTATTAGATCTTTATCTGAGGTGGAGAAAGCTTTTACTTTAAAGCTTTGGTGGAAATGGAAGATGGGTGGTTCTTTATGGTCTGATTTTCTGAAAGCTGAATATCCCAGGGGTGATAACATGATTCCTAAGATTTATGACTCCTCCATTTGGAGGAGAATATGCTCTATTGATTCTGAGGCCCTCAATTACTGCGAACTTGATCAGATGGTGAATTGATTTGGACTGCTGAGGAGGATGATCTTTTTTCTTTTCAGTCTACCTTCCAATTGGTTAGAAAGGAAAAAGGGTTCTACCTTCTCCTTCTCCCATTGTTGGCACCAAAAACAGGTGTTGAAAATCAAGCTTCTACAATGGAAAATTTTAAACCATATCCTACCCACCACTAATAATCTTAAAAGATTTTGAATGGTTCTAAACCCCTCTATTTTCCCCATGTGTAGGGCTAATGAAGATTCTATGAATCACTTGTTTTATGAGTGTCTTGTGACTCATACAGTTTGGTGCTATTTTATTCAAGTCTTTGGGATCCCTAATACTGTTTTTGATATGACTATAAGGCAACTATTTTTTTGTTGGTGGCTCAAAGCAGACAGTAAAAAGCTTACTGACCTATTCAAACATAACCTTCCAGTAATTATTTGTTGGCATATTTGGAAATCATATGCAGGGTTAGTTTGGGGCTCGGACACTGTGATACCTACTCCAGGGCTTCTGATTGCGCAAATAAAATTTTTTACTCAGCAGTGGGTTACTAGTCCAGGCAAGTTAAAGGTTTGTGAGGTTGGTAGTGTTCTTTATGAGGAAGACCTCATTCAGCCAAGATTCCGTCTATGTGGTATAAGTCTAAGAATAATCAAATGGGAAAAGCTTCATAAATTGAAGATGAACACAGATGCTTCCTACTTACCTTAGGGTGCTTTTGGAGGGGCAATTATGAGGAATCCAGACGGTGAGATGCTTTTTCCCATTTCTTTCCCCTTGCAGGCTGATTCTGCGGTCGATGCTGAGATGAAGGCTCTGTACTTTGCTACGAGGTGGGCTATGGAGGCTGGTTACCATGACTTCCAGGTGGAAACCGACGTTGTGTATGTTTTGAGGAATATGGAAGAAGGTCAGATGAGAAGATGGAGGGCTCTGATTCAGGAAACGATGCCGACTTCGAATAGGAAACATGTTACGTTTCAGCACGCCTGGTGAGAAGCAAACGGGGCTGCACATAGCTTGGCCCATCTTCATTCAACCCAGTTAATTATTGTTCCCAATATTATTGATCTTCCATGCCCGGTTAGGAGAGCTTATTACATGGACAAGTTCAATATACCTTCTCTTAGGTTGTAATCCCCTTGTTTAATGCTTTTTTCTGGTTTGACATTTTGTAATTCTTCTAGAAGAGGTTTTGGCCTAGTCCCCCTCTTTCGTTGTAACCTTTCTCTTTTTTAATAAAATCTGATAAATGTCCCCCGGCATTTACCCCACTAATTTTGGTGGTTGACCTTCCGGGGTAAGAAAAAAACCTTTTCGAGACGGATAAGTTGGACAAGAATATGTTTTGAAGTTGTATTTGCCTATGTGCGGTGTTTCAATTGGACCTGAATTGTTGAATAGTTGAATTCTTAGTCACTTCTCCTATGTTTGTTCTTAACCGGAATTCTTAGTCCTATACTTGTCACGGTAGTAAGGTGGCACGGTAGTAACCGTCTTACCATGGACCTGCCCGCGGTTTTATGTTCAACCAAAAACTAATTAAATATTTAAATATCAATACCTCAATATTAACTCAGAATGAAGGAGCTGCTTAAAAACTCATTGTTTACCTTGCTAGTTGTGACCTGCGTTAGTTGACGGAAGGAGTTGCCATGATTCCTTGAAAAAGGTTTTCATCTACCTTAGAAGATTTGTGAAGGTTAATAGTGTGTTGTCTACTTTCTAATTTTCTACTTTCAATATCTGATTTTTGGGGCTGGGATTCTAAAATCGAATCTGGGGAGATGACTGGACGACGCCATGGATGCTTGGAACTCCCCTGGATGATGCCTTTGTCATAATCTTCTTCAGGTGAGGCGATGACCCATGGCTACCCCTCCCCAATGCTTGGACACTTAGTCGTTGACTAGGCGATGCCGTAACAAGTATACCACAAGCATTTATCATGTTTTAGATGAGAGGCTACGAGTATACATGATACTACCTCTATCACAAGTTCAACTTCTCATTGAAAAATGACACAGTTATTTATACTACGTATAATATTACTTAATTAAATAGGGTTATTCAAGTATGTTTTGAAAATACCAGCAACATTCGATTCTGTTGAGACATTTGGTCCCTCGTGTAAGGGTTTAACGATTCCACCACAATTAACGCGCAACAAGGATTTTGCGTAGTTTTTTACAAATTTCGTAGCAGCGATCAAACAACATGGTGTTTCGCGGTGCTTTCTTCGCGGATAGTGCACAATGATGCAGACTGGGGGTGAGTCCAAGGAGACAGTGGCATCCATGGAGGATTTGATGCAATCGTGAGGCTTGGTTCTTGAGGAGGAGGAGGAGGAGGAGGGATTGCTATCGATCTTGAAGAGGATTCGGGCTAAGAGGCCAACAAAGGACCGGGGTTTGCGATTGTTGGACGGTTAGTTACTGACAAATCAATCAAATTTCCCTATTTCAGAGACCTGGTGGCATCAATTTGGAGGCCAGCTAGAGGAGTTTCAATAAAAGAGATTGATGAGAAAAGATATCTTTTTACTTTCTTCCATGAGGTTGATATGAACCGTGTCCTAAGAATGAATGGTCCATGGCTTTTTGAGCAGAATTTACTAGTCGTGCATGCTTTACAAGATGGTGAAATGCCTTTGTCAGTCCATCTTAATAAGGCTAATTTCTAGACTCAGGTGTTTAATTTACCGATGAAATTTTTTACTTTAAAAATTGCAAATACAATTGAGAACTCAATGGGTAAATTAATTGATGCTGAGGAAAGGCAATTTGAGGAGATCTGTAGGCCATATATGAGGTTGAAAGTTTGTTTGGATATAAATAAGTCTCTGCACATGAAATTAAAACTAGGTAAAGATGATCAAGATTGTTTTTGGGTCCTTGACTTCAAAGTTTCTCACGTTTAGTCCTCTGAGTATTATCAAATTGACATCTTTAATCCTTCCACTATGATTTTGATACAATAAACGGAGGACTAAAAATGTTATTATTATAATAGTTGAAGGATCAAAAGTGTTATTACAATAAACGGAATAGTAAAAACTGTGTGGTTGAGATTTGTGCAAAGGAGAGAGAAATGTGCAGAACCACAAATTAGTTGCTTTAATAGGAAAGTGTCAAAGTTTTTTCAGACAACCAAAAAAGAAAAGTTGAAAAAGTCCAATGGGACGGAGGGAGTATTCAGCTAAAGATGAACATTTCAAAGTTGTCAAAGCTGTCAGTTGTATTGAGGTTTGGATTGTTATCCTTGCAACCGGGCTTCGAACCCCCTTTTCTTGAAGTTTTTTGTGTTTAGTTCCGGGTTTCACAAAATTTCCGGGTTTAGGCCGTCTCGGGTTACGGGCCAGGTTAGCGGGTAATTTCGGGTTTGGACAAATTAACGGGCTGAGTTTCAACTGAACCAAATTGGGCTCCGGGTGATCAAGTTTCGGGTCGACCCGCCCGGTCCGGTTGTTTAAACATAAACTTTATCAATTCAATATCAATCACATAAACTCACTTTTTGTAATAATCATGT